GAGAGAGAGAGAGAGAGAGAGAGAGAGAGAGAGAGAGAGAGAGAGAGAGAGAGAGAGAGAGAGAGAGCTTCTGCATTGCCACCGTTCTCCCCGCAACCCCGCCTAGGACTTCAGGGGGCTTACCACCTAAAATTGAAAAACTGAAAGCGACCCCCCCCCTCCTCCTCCCCTCTTTCCCCTCGAGCAGGAAAGTATGGGCTTTGTTGCGGTACTGATTCCCTCCTGTTTTTGATTGGAGAGCACATGGGACTAGTTGGATGACAGAGCATTCTTGGACTCGGATGGCACACTTCCTGCCCTCCTCTATGGCCACACATGCGCGTAGGTGCGTAGGTGCATGTACTCCGTCCAACCCCATCCATAGGTTTGGAGGTCAATTGGATCATATATGTGTAGTCCCCAGTTTTGGGATTGCCAGTTGGGAAATTGTAGCTGCCAGTTGGGAAATTGTTATGGTTCTTCAGATGTCTAGCACATGCATTCGACAGTAGATACGGTGCTTTACTGAATGTCCTTGTTTGTTTTTGTTTATTCTTTATCTGGCTTCTCTCCCCCTTTCTCCTATCCTTTTGACAGGTGGTTATAGAGGGTTTCAAGAGTTACAAAGATCAAATAGCAACTGACACCTTCAGCCCAAAGCACAACTGTGTCGGTATGCTTTTCTTGCCCCCTGTCTGTCCTTTTGCATGCATCTGTGGGTGCGTGTATGGATGTGCACATCCACGCATGGACACACCCGTTTGTGTGTGTGTGTGTGTGTGTGTGTGTGTGTGTGTGTGTGTGTGTGTGTTTGTGTGTGTGTGTGTGTGTGTGTGTGTGTGCAGGTGTGCATTGTGTTTCCGCTTCCCCTTCCTCCCTTCCCCCCCCGCTCCCCCCTGTTTCTTTCTTTTTTCATTCTTTCTTTTTTTGTCCATAAATTTTGTTGGGTTTGCATCTCGGGCTTGGCTAGGCCCTCACTTGAGAGAGCTATCTCAGGCTCAATGGCCCTCGCTTGAGACTCGTCTCTGGTGCATGGTGTGTTTATGGTTTGTTAATGCTTTGTTCATGGTTTGTTCATGCTTTGTTCATGCTTTGTTCATGGTTTATTCATGGTTTGGTTCACGGTTTGGTCACGGTTTGTTCATGGTTTGTTCATGGTTTGTTCATGGTTTGTTCCGTGGTTTGTTCGGTGGTTTGTTCCGTGGTTTGTTCGGTGGTTTGTTCGGTGGTTTGTTCGGTGGTTTGTTCGTTGGGGCCTGAACTTGGGACCTGCATCAGGCTCGTTGTTGGGCCCTGGGGGTGAGCTCGAAACCTATTTTTGGATGTCTTCTTTTGGGACTTGGACGGGTCTCAGGCTATCACGGCATGTGCCAGAACTTTTGTGCCTGAATGTGACCATAATCACGATCAGATACATGATTATGGTTGTGACCTTGGCTCAATATTTCAGTATTTTGTTTTTTCTGATTTCACTAGTCTACCCGAGCCTTTTCTTTCTGATGCGCTGTGCTACCTGTCCTTTAAAAACCCTCAACCGTCGTGGGCGCAACCTTGCCAGGCATCGCCAGCCTTTTCTCTCTGATAGATCAGAAGTGCATTTTTTGTTTTTTGTGGCGCGTTAGCAGTTGCATTGGAACAAGTTTTTTGTGGCACGTTAGCAGTTTTTTGTGGCGCGTTAGCAGTTGCATTGGAACAAGTTTTTTGTGGCGCGCGAGCGTTTTTTGTGGTGCGTTAGCAGGTTTTTGTGGTGCGTTGGCAGTTGTGTTGGAACAAGTTTTTTTGTGGCGTGTTAGCAGTCGCATTGGAAGAAGTTGCCAGGGAGACAGACGGGTGGTTTGAAAATCCTGGACCGTCATGGGCGCAACCTTGCCAGGCGCCGCCAGCCTTTTCTCTCTGATAAACCAGAACCGCGATTTCTGTGGCGCGCTAGCAGTTGCATTGGAACGAGGTAGGTAAGTATCCTCAGAGACTTCACGTGGAGCTACTAGTAATTAATAATATAAAAGAAAGACCAATGACTTATGAGTATACGCATAATAGATACCTTTGTTTGTATGCAGTGTCGCATTATTATAGTGAACCTGGGCAAGAGCCAAGGCCGAAACCGACGGATGGTTTGAAAAAGAACAATCAAAATTTGTTGAAATTGTCAAGGTGTAAGTGATTTTTTTTTATTTTTTTTTTTTACAAAACCAACTTTGCATTTCATTATCAAAAAGTGTAAGTGATTTTGCAAAATACCACGGCTGTAAATTGTGCTGAATGGACATAAATGGACTCATCCATCTTGAAAGAGCAAACAACAAGCTGTGCTGTATTGTGTTAGTCCATGTCATGAGATTTGGTAAAAAATGCGTTCTGACTTGGAGTTGTTCTATTCTTCTTTGTTTTTTTCAATTTGCTCATGTTTGTGTGTGTGTGTGTGTGTGTGTTTTGTGATGCGACAGTTGGCGCCAACGGATCAGGGAAATCCAACTTTTTTCATGGTAATTTTTGCCCACTTCAAGGGTGGTTCTGGTTTTCCAGAAACATCTCATCATCTTTTCATCTCTTGTTTTTGCAGCAAGTGAAATCTCTCTCGTGTTTTTTTTTTTTTTTTTTTTTTTTTTTTTTAAGAAATCTCTCAAGTTTTATGCGGTGCCTCTTCGGTACTTTCGTGGCTGCCTTTTTCTATTGCCCTTCTTAACCACCAGTACATCCGAGCCTCAATGCGCGCCAAGTTTATGCGCTGTCGTCTAAATCCATGAACCTCGAACCGTGCTGCACGCCTAGTTTTGTTGAAATGCCAGCGAAGCGTTTTTGTTTGTTTTGGCTGGCGGTGCCAACCATTTTGGTCGGGTTGCCTCGAGCCTCTGGAATTTTAGGAGAGGAGGCTCAATCACGATTCTCAAGTTGGTTGGGGCGATGTACTGGTGGTGGTTTCTCCTCCTTTCGGGTCTTTTAAAACAACACACACACACACACACACACGTCTATAGAGCCCTTACCTGCCTATTTTAGTTGAGCAATTCTCCATGTGCTATTGATGACAGCTTTTGCCCCATTCTCCATGAGATTGGACGGATTTCTCTTTTCAATGTCAATGGTCATATCTGTAGAGAATCAAGATCTGAGCGGGGAGTAGGGTAGATTTTTTTTATCCCCTACCACCCCACGCGTTCTGATTGACAAAAAACGAGCCGCCATTTTTGTAATAAAATCGTCTGCTGAGAACCCACTGGATGACGGATCCGATCATCTAGATTGAGTCGGTCCGCATCTGGATGCGGATGTTTTGGGCGGTTACCATGTGTTATTATTACTTTATCATAATTTTTTTTTTGAGTATATATGTTCATAATATTCCTGTGCTTTTCCTCTCTTCTCTTTCCCCTGAATTTAATTTGCACCATTCCGGGACTTGTGTGTCATCCTTGCACAGGGGCGGTGCTAACCGTCTTCACCCGAATAGAACGTGTGGTAATGACGCCGCCTGCATTTGGGCCACCGTGCAGTCCAGACGCAGTGGTAATGACCGTACGTTCTATTCGGGGGAAGGCAGTAGTCTTTGTTGTATGGTTCCAATTGTAATGGATGTCCAAACTTTGGAGAGAGATGATGAAAAAGAATATAATTTTAACCAGTGCTGGTCCCCAGGGCGGTCTAGACTGGCTCTGCCTGCCCGGGTACCCCACCCGGGTGAGCCCGACCAGGCGACCGGTTATCAGGAATGGAAATTCTGAAGTGAGAGTTTTGGGTAGTCTGAAAATCCTAAATGGTCCTGAAGTTGTGAAAGGTCCGAAGGCCCTGAAAACCACCTGTTTAGGCAGGTTGCATCCTGAAGTGGTGAAGGGTGTCCTGAAGTGGTCAAGTGAGAGTTTTGGGCAGTTTGAAAATCCTGAATGGTCCTGAAGTGGTGAAAGGTCCGAAGACCATGAAAACCACCCTTCACCACTTAAGGATGCAGCCTGTATAAACAGGTGGTTTTCAGGGTCTTCGGAGCTTTCACCACTTCAGGACCATTCAGGATTTTCAGACCTGAATAGTCCTAAAGTGGTGAAAGGTCTCAGACCTGAATGGTCCTAAAGTGGTGAAAGGTCCGAAGACCCTGAAAAACCACCTGTTTAGGTAGGCTGCATGCGTAAGTGGTGAAGGGTGTCCTGAAGTGGTGAAAGGTCCGAAGACCCTGAAAACCACCTGTTTAGGCAGGCTGCATCCTGAAGTGGTGACGGGTGTCCTGAAGTGGTGATGAAAAATACGACTGTTGTTAACCTTCTCTCAAACAACTTTTGGCTGAGAGTCTCCTTGAAATTCTTTACCAATCCAAGGCAAGATTAAAAATAAAATTGAAAAAAACAAGGGCTAAGATATATACCGGCCATTACACCCCTTTAATCCCTGTGCAGAGCCCCCCAATGCCCCTCTCGAAATTGGAAGATAAGGTGATATTCCGACTGATCAGGCCAAGCGCAGACCTGAATGGTCCTAAAGTGGTGAAAGGTCCGAAGACCCTGAAAAACCACATGTTTAGGTAGGCTGCATCCTTACGTGGTGAAGGGTGTCCTGAAGTGGTGAAAGGTTCGAAGACCTTGAAAACCACCTGTTTAGGCAGGCTGCATCCTGAAGTGGTGAAGGATGTCCTGAAGTGGTGATGAAAATAACGACTGCTGTTAACCTTCTCTCAAACAACTTTTGGCTGAGAGTCTCCTTGAAATTCTTTACCAATCCAAGACAAGATTAAAAATAAAAATTGAAAACAAGGGCTAAGATATATACTGGCCATTACACCCCTTTAATCCCTGTGCAGAGCCCCCCAATGCCCCTCTGGGTGACCCATCACGAAATTGGAAGATAAGGTGATATTCCGATTGATCAGGCCAAGCGCAGTCCTGGCCTGGAGTCAGAAGGGGCAAAAAATAGATCCTTACTGTGCTTCTTTGACCCMCCCATGTTTTTTTCCCAGGCCCCCCCCCCCCTGCCCACGCTGCCAGGCATTGCTGGGCGGCCATGTGCCCTTCATAAATTTTTAATTAACTTGCAGTAACGTACTCGTTTTTTTTTTGTTTTTTTTTTTTGGTATTGTTTGGGATGAACTGCAAATGTTCCAATGGGCACCGCTCCTTCCTTTGCCGTCCTTTGCCCGACACCTTAGGTGGGGTGTGGGTCGTGCCCCCGACACCTTAGGTGGGGTGTGGGTCGTGGCCCCCGACACCTTAGGTGGGGTGTGGGTCGGGTCCCATGGGACGCTGAGATTAGTCCCTGCTGTGTATTCTCCCTGTCCCTGCAGTCTGCCCAACTACCTCTCCCAGTTCCCAAAGGGTCTCTTTTTCTCCTCTCCTGAAATGATTCTTCTGAAGTGGTTATATCAGACGTCAGCATCTGAGGTCACCCCCCAGAAAGTAGCAGCAACGCGTTTCCTACACTAAGAAAAAGACCGTTGCAGCAACTTTGTGATCAGACTGATCCAGCTTTGTGTGTATAGAGGGTTGGTGGCACTAAAACTCATGACATCATTTGAAGCACCAGTACACCACACATCCGACCGCAGGTGTCAGCATGAAATCCGCACCCCTTCGGAGGGTGCCGATTTTGTTTTCCAATGGCGCTGCGCATCGCCCTCCAAGTTTTGCTTGCGGCAACAAAAAAAATTCTGCAAGGCTGGGGCCGTGTACTACTTGCGGTTTAATAATGTAATAAGGAGAACTAAGTAGTAACTTGTAAGAACCTAAAACTGGCTGTGAAGTTGTGTGGAGCAACACATTGTCACCTGATTCATGTGTAATGGCATTGATTGAATATCGTTAAGGCCCAATTGACCATGGATCAGATATCGAACTGATAAAAAGAAGGCAAAAAAAACAAAGAACAGGTACTACACTTCATCTATTTTTAGCCAAAAGGCCGAGAAAGGTATCCTGTTTTGAGGGTATGCAAAAGAACTAAAAAAAAAAATAATCTGGTGGTATGCAAAAGAACTTTGGAAAATAAAAAAAATCCCTGGGTGGATTGTGAGGTCCCCGGCCTCGTATTTGTGTCATGTAAAAGAGTCTCATTCACATACGTGAAAGAAAGGCAAGTCAATTATGCACACTTTGAGATCACTCAAGGTAAGCGACACGACAAGGCAAAGTGCGAAACAAAGAAAACCTAAAAAAACTCGTATTTGCCTGTGGAATAAAATTAATCTTTCTATTTAAAAAAAAATGAAAAAAATCGAAGCGGAATGGGATTGAAGAATCTGGTGGTATGCCAAAGAACTTCAAAGAAAAAGAAAAGGAAAGAGAAGGGGAAGAATCTGATATGCATTTTTTTTTAAGGCAAAGACGAGGAAAAAAGAAGAAGAATCTGATATGCATTTTTGTTGTTGGTTGGTGAACCGTTTTTGGTGTCTGACATCGTTTGCAGCGATTCGTTTCGTTCTGAGTGACGTATTCCACACCCTCCGAGCGGAAGATCGCCAAGCACTCCTCCATGTGAGTATGGACATCGGGTTTTTGCTGGGGATTGCCTGTAGTTTTATGCTGGATTCTGTCACTTCTAGTGCGAGTGTTTGGGAGAATGGGGGAGGGGGGGAAGGGTAGGTAGATGCCATCTCTTTGTCTCTCTCTCTCTCTGTCTCTCTGTGTATCTGGCACACACATATACACACGGTTGGAAGGGCAGGTTGTGTTAGCCAAGGCTAAAACTCCTCGTGTTGCATGAGTGAGTGTTCCTACCCAAGGGCTGGGACGCCAAAACGCTATTCAGAGGATTGAAATCCTGCAGATGCCTGGAGGTCTCTCTCGTTACACCAGTGCACGTGTTACACTTTCTTCCTTTTTTTTTTCCCTTCTTTCAATCGCGCCATTTCTCGATTCGTGTGTGTCATCCTTTCCTTGCACATAGACTATATTATGTTATGGTGTGTGTGTGTGTTGGGGGTACGCTACAGCCATGCAGGTGTGTGTGTGTGTGTGTGTGTGTGTGTGTGTGTGTGTGTGTGTGTGTGTGTGTGAGTCAGGATGCTACAGCCGTGCAGATGTGTGTGTGTGGGGGGGTGAGTCAGGACGCTACAGCCTGCAGGTGTGTGTGCTGTCTCTTAAATCTCTCAAGTTTTATGCGGTGCCTCTTCGGTACTTTCGTGGCTGCCTTTTTCTATTGCCCTTCTTAACCACCAGTACATCCGAGCCTCAATGCGCGCCAAGTTTATGCGCTGTCGTCTAAATCCATGAACCTCGAACCGTGCTGCACGCCTAGTTTTGTTGAAATGCCAGCGAAGCGTTTTTGTTTGTTTTGGCTGGCGGTGCCAACCATTTTGGTCGGGTTGCCTCGAGCCTCTGGAATTTTAGGAGAGGAGGCTCAATCACGATTCTCAAGTTGGTTGGGGCGATGTACTGGTGGTGGTTTCTCCTCCTTTCGGGTCTTTTAAAACAACACACACACACACACACACACGTCTATAGAGCCCTTACCTGCCTATTTTAGTTGAGCAATTCTCCATGTGCTATTGATGACAGCTTTTGCCCCATTCTCCATGAGATTGGACGGATTTCTCTTTTCAATGTCAATGGTCATATCTGTAGAGAATCAAGATCTGAGCGGGGAGTAGGGTAGATTTTTTTTATCCCCTACCACCCCACGCGTTCTGATTGACAAAAAACGAGCCGCCATTTTTGTAATAAAATCGTCTGCTGAGAACCCACTGGATGACGGATCCGATCATCTAGATTGAGTCGGTCCGCATCTGGATGCGGATGTTTTGGGCGGTTACCATGTGTTATTATTACTTTATCATAATTTTTTTTTTGAGTATATATGTTCATAATATTCCTGTGCTTTTCCTCTCTTCTCTTTCCCCTGAATTTAATTTGCACCATTCCGGGACTTGTGTGTCATCCTTGCACAGGGGCGGTGCTAACCGTCTTCACCCGAATAGAACGTGTGGTAATGACGCCGCCTGCATTTGGGCCACCGTGCAGTCCAGACGCAGTGGTAATGACCGTACGTTCTATTCGGGGGAAGGCAGTAGTCTTTGTTGTATGGTTCCAATTGTAATGGATGTCCAAACTTTGGAGAGAGATGATGAAAAAGAATATAATTTTAACCAGTGCTGGTCCCCAGGGCGGTCTAGACTGGCTCTGCCTGCCCGGGTACCCCACCCGGGTGAGCCCGACCAGGCGACCGGTTATCAGGAATGGAAATTCTGAAGTGAGAGTTTTGGGTAGTCTGAAAATCCTAAATGGTCCTGAAGTTGTGAAAGGTCCGAAGGCCCTGAAAACCACCTGTTTAGGCAGGTTGCATCCTGAAGTGGTGAAGGGTGTCCTGAAGTGGTCAAGTGAGAGTTTTGGGCAGTTTGAAAATCCTGAATGGTCCTGAAGTGGTGAAAGGTCCGAAGACC